CCCCACACGGCCAGTCTTCGAGCACATGAGGTGCTCTGTGTCTTCGCGCCTGTCTTCGCCTCTGCTTCTTCTCTTCGCGTTCCCCTCGGGTCATTCGCAGGCCTGCGCCTCGGGAGCTGGCGCCGCTGTGCGACCTTCCGCTGGCCTTCGTGTCTGCCGCCATCATTGTTCGGCTTCATGAGGTTCATTTTGCCCCTCGCATGTGCATTCCGGCGTTGGTTTTTGGCCCGCTGGCAATTATCTTGTTTGCCGCCCCAAGCTTGCTACGACCCGCTCTCTGGAATCGTCCTTGGAGCCGCAGATCAAAAAGTATCCCCACCACTTAAGGCGTTCCTCGGTTCCCCCCATTGTTTGTCCGCGCGTGCTCTCGCGCCCGCCGCCTTTCCTCGCTCCTTCGCCTCCTCGTCGTGATGGACGGTGCGGCCTCACTGGCCCTCCGTGCTGCCACAGCGCGGCGTGACCCACGCCATTACGCGCTGGTCGGTACGGATCGAGCTGGCGCCACTGCGATTCCTCCTCCGTTCGTTTCCTTATGATGCCGCGTCCCCGTTCCCGGGTCGCCCGCATCTTAACGGGGGGCATTTTGTCTCTGGCACGTGCACTTGCTGCGTCGGCCTTTGCGCCGTCGCCGCCAATTATCTCGCCCTGTGCCCCAGCCGAGACCGCCCCGTTTCCTGGATCTGTCCTTGTGAGCCGCCAGTCAAAGAAATATCCCCACCAGCCCATCCAGAAACGACGCCCAGCCGAGTAGAGGGCCGTCCTGAGGGGCTTTTCGGCGTCTTGGGTGCCTCGGGGGGGCCACTTTGGACCGCTTGGGATCCTCTTGGGGACCTCCTGGGGGCCTCTTGGGGGCCTCTTGGGGCCATTTTGGGGCACTCTTGGGGCCTCCTGGGCGTTTCTTGGAGCCATTTTGGAGGAGATCGACCACCGGAGGGGGGGCACAAATTAGCGCCCCCCCCTCAGGAGGCCAAAACGGGGCCAAAACCCCAGTAACATCAATGAGTTCGGCTTCTCGCCGAGGCCGTTTTGGACGCCCTGACACTTCCCCGCCCCTCCCGCCCAGGCCCACCCCGGCGTGGAAGAGGGAGGGGTGGAAGAAACGCCCTAAACCACCGACGCCCAGAGGGCTGGTGGAATTACGCCCCCCCTCGGGAGCACCCAACATCGCCTCCTGGACCCATCCGTAGCCATGCTGGCTCAAGCCATTTTCGTTTCAGCAATTGTGGCTTAAGCCGGCCCCAGTTTGGATTGGCCCGACCGTGGGCAACATCATATCCAAGGTTTAAGCACACATCCTTAATCGTTATTGCATTTATTTTCCCAGTGTGTCAGATGCCAATGTATATTGCGACGGCGCAGCAGACCTATCGGCACTTCTCCGAGGGGCGTGCCGCCCACAGTCTTACTATGGGGGTCGCCTCGCTCTGCGCGGCCTTCTACGCGTTACGTCCCGTTTTCACTGCCACGTCCAGCAGTTTTGGAGGAACAAGTCTCCAGATCGGTATCGACACGTTCTTGCTATCGCTCTGCGTTCTCGGCTTCTTCCTCGATCCACGCAATACGAAGAACACGGATAAGATCACCAACGTGAATCAGTTGACCACTACAACGTCGTTGATCGACAAGGCGATGTTCGACAGTAGGTGCGAAGCTTGTTGCGCAGTCTCCGTCAAGGAACGCGCGTCGCATAGGAAACGACGCAATACTCATTGCCGCCTCAAAGCACAACGATCGAAGTCTGACGTGTACATCGTCGAGCGCGCGCAGAGAGAGGGCGTGACTCACGAACTTCCAGAAGTGTTGGAAGTGATGCATTCCTCCGTCAGACTTGGTCACGGAGACGCAGCTGTGATGTTGTTCGATCAGATGTTGAATAAGGGGACCGTTCCTGGTGCAAACCTCATTCACAAGGCCCTATCAAACAATTTCTTCAAGCTCGTCGTTGATACTCTCGATGACAAGCGCATTTAGATGGACGGACTGCGGGTTCTTGATCTAGTCTGGGCTCATGGAGTCCACCCGTCGCCTACTCTTCAGAATCGATTGCTGGCGTCGTGGAAGTATCAGCCTCCGGAGAATGTCGTGGAATGGTTCGTGAAAATGAAGAGCGCAGGCGTCACCCTTAGCGATCAGGTATATCGTTCTATCGTTGTGGCCCACGAGCGTTCCAATCCAGCATTCGTCTTGGAGTTGAGCAACGAGATGGAGCGCTCAGGGATTCAGCTCCGGCAGTCGGCGTACAATGTAGTGTTGGGTGTTTTAATCCAGCATGGTATGCACGACGCGGCCCACGAGTTGTTCACGAAGATGGCGGACCACGCAGTGGCTCCCAATGCAAGATCTTATGGCACGATGATCAGGGTCTACGCGTGCAGTGACCAGTTCGAGAAAGCCATTACCATCTTCGATTCGATGCGGGAGCAGTCCTTCGAGCCCGACCGGTTCGCCTACCACCATGCAATTTATGCATGCAGCATGATCCAGCGTGTTGAATACGCCGTCGAACTGTACAGGGACGCCGTGCAGGCGAAGGTGCCCCTGTGCACGAGCACGTGTGTCATTCTGAGGCGGGCGTGCCTTGATGTTGGCTGGAAGTGTTTGGCAAGCAAGTTCGAAATGGAATTGACAAACTAGCAATTCGCGCTCGGGATGGAGGCAGAGGCCATCTATGCGATTCAGGCGTAGCATGAAGTCAACGGCGCAATGGCAACGAGCGGTCCAAGGCAAGACGCAGCACGGTGTTCGTTTAAGTCCGTCATGGCAGCATGGTTCTTGGAAGACCGTGGTGCCGGGTTTTGAGGCCACGTTCGCTTCATTTTCAATACAGGTTTCAATACACTATACGTGACCCCCCCTTTGCAGGGCGAAGTCCACTGCTGCGACAGCTTCGATCGTTCACTCTGGACCAGCTCCAGGAACGTCTCTGACTCCCCCGCTTTTTCCTCGTTCCTCCTCCTCGTTCCTCCTCCTCCTCCTCCTCCTCCTCCTCCTCCTGGTGCTGATGCGCAGTCGGTTGTTCAGCGCCCTTCGCATCTGGCTCGTCCGGCGCTGCTCTGAACTGACCCCGAGAAGCGGGAGAGGCACAGCAAATTCTACCACCCTTGGGCCGCACCGTAGCTACGTCCGAAGGCCATTCCCCTCTCTTCCCTCTTCTCCGCGTCCTCCACTCTGCCTTCGCCTTCCTCTACAGCTGCCTGGAGTGCGATGTTCCTTTGGCGCAGACCCTTTTGTCTCCTGCATCGTTTAGCAGGAGAGTAAAACAATATCCTTGCGAAGGACCCAACCATATGCAGTTATGGGTTCGGATTTCATCAGCTTTCAAGACGGTTTTAGTCAGTTGCATTATGTACAGGGTGGCTTGTCCGAGCCCTCCCACCAGGAAACATATGTTTCCCAACCCTCCTTGGTTGGGTATTCGTTTTGAATAAGGGACTGTAGTCTCCACCTTCCTTCCTCCCGCCTCCCTCCCTCCTCCTGCTATAACGTCTCCCAAACTACTCATGCCCCGCATTGCGCAGGGGTTGGGTACGTCGCCAGGGTAATTTTCCCGGAAAGGGCGCCGGCCCAGTGTTCTCTTTTAGTTGGTAAACCTCTAGATAAGCCCGTACGATGTCTGGATAAGCCTGTCATGTGTTGTAATGCTTTCGCTTTGTTTTGACCTCAGAACCAACCTGGATTTGAGCTCACTGTCCGGCGTGACGGTAATGTTCATTTGGGTGTCTATTCTGTGCATGCTTAGCATAACTTTGCCACCACGGCCCCTTTGGTTGAAAAGGCGTCCGTTAATTTGAGCTAGGTCCTGGTGATTTTTGCGGCCTCAATGGCCGAGGGGGGTGTAAGAGATTACACCCCCCAGTCATACAGGACGGTCCCCGCCGCTTGGCCCCCCCCCCCAAAAAAAAACATCGCCTCCTGGACCCATCTTGGAACATTATTGGAGCGCTCTTGGGCGTTCTTGGGGCCGTCTTGGGGCCCTTGGGGCTCGGCTGGCCCCTTCTTGGGGCGCTCTTTGGGGCCATCTTGGGGGATGTCGGTCAACGAAGGGGGGTTCCTCAATTACGCCCCCCCCCTCAGGAGCACCCAAAATCGCCTCCTGGACCCATCTTGGAGCGCTCGTGGGCGCTCTTGGGACCGTCTTGGGGCTCTCTTGGTCCCTTATTGGACCCGTGTTGGGCCATCTTGGAGCGATGTTGAGGCCTCGGATGGGCATCGGAAGCGCAAAAGCGATAACGCCAAAAACATTATGTTTCCCCATGGTGTTGAAGCATTTTGGCCTGGTCGGGGCGTCATTGGGGAGCTCTTTTGGCCACTTAGACCCGTCTTGGAGCGGTCTTGGAGCGTCTTGGAGCATCTTCGGAGCTATACCGAGGCATCTCGCGCTATCTTGAGCCATCTTCGACGCTATCTTGGGCTGCTCTGAGGCCCTCATGGAGCCATCTTGGGCCATCTTGGACGCTCTAACTACCCGCGGCCCCCCCCGTTCAGGTCCAGGGCAGGGGGTAGTCGGAGGGGTAAACCCCTCCCCGAAGGGGAAGAGGGAGGGGTGGAAGAGGAAACGCCCTAAACCACCGACGCCCAGAGGGCTGGTGGGATTCTTTGGAAACATGAGCCCAGCGCCGAGGCGAGACCGACATTTTGGCCAGTCACGCGGAAGTTTGGCCCCGTCCCATTCTTGCCATGCATTTTGCAACATGGACGGTAGATTTTCCATGTTGAAACGAAAATCATGTTGATTTCGTATTGTTGTTTGACGTTGCTATCGGCCGGTGCTGTGGCAGAGTGGGGGTCGTACACCAGCAAGGAATGAGGATAGGGGCATGGGCGCGGGTAGTTTTACCAGTAGGAAGGAGGGTGGGATTAGGAGACGGGGGGAACGTAAATATTCCTTCTCCCGTCAACGTCTTCTCAGTATTACTCTCTTCCCTCCGCTCCCTCCCCCAAGGAGCCCCTCGCCATTTACAATTGCACCCCATGATCCCTCCACTTCCGCTCGGCGGCAGGATTCTGCCGGGCTGCGCGTGGACATTGGACAACCAGGGCTTGGATGCCCAGGTCCACTTGGCGGACATGGCGCCGCCGCCTCCCCCACAGGGCTCGACATAAAAGGTGTGTTTGCGATTTCGTGGGCCGCTCCCGCTTAGTTGTCTGTTGCAACCAAGGCGGGAAAAAGACAAAACGATGGAAAGCAACACGAAAGCTAGAACACACTGTTTAGGTAGAGCCCTGCCCCTGCCTTCACAGCGGAGAGGGCAGACTCGCGGTAGGCTGAGGGGGTCTCACCTGCTGTAGGCAGGCGCGCCACAGGCCCTGGCCGCCCTCAGTCGCGGGCGAGTGAGAGGGCGCAGGCCTTCTGAGAAGGCCCACGTGGCCTCGCTAGGTGGCCAGAAGCCCTCGGAGCCTCCCGACAAGGCCCACCCCATCTGCCTTCCCCCTGGGCGCGCGCCGCCGACGGTAGTTTTAGGAGTACGTTTGCGCCTCCGAGCCTGGATGTGCACATGGGCCGCACGATCGCGCGCGTGTGGACAGACAGACGGGCAGCTCAATGACGCACCCACGAGGAGGAGGAGGAGGAGGAGGAGGACCAGTGCAAACCCAAGAGTCATCGACGATGTTGGAGTAGACCCTCCCTCAAAACTCCCTCTTCACAGGCCCCTAGAACAGTTCATTTCCTCTGAGGGAATTGCCTTGTTGGAAGACAACGGTTTGAAGACCCTGACGCATGCCGAAACATTATTCCCGTGACTCCAACGCCACGGATCAACCTGAGTGTTGCGTCTCGACGGATCCTGAATCGTGCCAGAACGCCATTCTTGGGATTCCAAGACCGCGAATCCACGTAACTGTTACATCCTCAGAATCCTGAATCTCTCCAAAACCCCGCTTCTGGTACGTTGACCATGGAACCCTTGAAACTCTTGCAATTGTTAGAAAGGAATGTGTGCGGCGCTCAAGCGAGAGCCACATTTTGAAAACGACCCGCCCTCAATCCGTGAAGCTCTTGCAATGTCTTAAACACGAATGCCCGCGGCGCTAAGGCGAGAGCCACATTTTGCAAACGACCCGCCCTTAATCCGTGGGACCTTTGACTTGTTTAGACGAATGTGTGCGCAGCGCTAAGACCAGAGCCACAGTTTGAAAATCACCCGACCTCAGTCAGTGAAACTCTTGTAATTTGTCGTTGCGAATGTGCGCAGCGCTAAGGCGAGAGCCACATTTTGAAAACGACCCGCCCTCCATCTGTGAAACTGTTGTCAACGTTTCAGGGTCATAAATAGCAAGGAAGTCTCAGGCGCAATGCCTGGCCCGCCCTTCCGACCGGCCTCGGGGTGCGACAGGGAGAAGTTATGTATCAGAAAGCGGAATGGTGGTGGAGGATGAAGAGGATGAGGAGAAGGATGAGATGGAGAAAATGCGGACGAGGAAGAGAAAGTTGTTTGGAGCCTTGTTGGAACGCTTCAGGGCTGTCTTAAGGTCTTAGGGCCCTCTTGGGAGCCTCTTGGGCGATCTTGGCGTCCTCTTGGGCCGGTTTGGGGCCCTCTTTGGGGCCTCATAGGCTGCAGTGGAGCTATCTTGGAAGCTTCTTGGGCCGTCTTGAGCGGTCGGAAGCCAAGAAAGGCGAGAACCTCAAAATAAGAAAAACCTAAAGAGAATCATTGGTTGTTGCTTCCTCGGGCTCTCATGGAGGGCCTCATGGAGCCCTCTTGGCCGTCTTGAGAGCCTCTCGGGCCGTCTTGAGACTGTCTCCAGAACTTCTTGAGCTGTTTTGCACCATCTGGCGCCAGTTGGGTGTCTTCGCGGTTTTCTTGGAAGCCCTCTTGGGGGTCATTTTGACTTCGAAGGGATTTCAAAGCAGAGACTAAGAGCATCGCGCCTGCGTCCGCTGCAGCTTGTATCTCTAGTGAAAGTCGGGGGTGTAGAGGAGTCGAACTCCATCCTTCCCGACGCTGGCAAGCGACGACGAGGAGGACGACGACGTGTCCTGTCTGACCCCCCGACCGACTCGCCCGCGACGACGACGACGAGGACTACGACGACAACGATGACGACGACGACGACGACGACGACGACGACGACGACGACGAAGACGACGACGACGACGACGACGACGACGACGACGACATGTTGCGCCCGATCGACCGACTCGCTGACGACGATGATGACGACGACGACAGCTGCGGCGGTGGCGGCGGCGACGACGGCTGCGACGCCCGCGCCGACGCCGACGACGCCCAGCGACGGCAACCGACGACGACTTGTCCTTCCGCCCGAACGACTCGCCGACGACGACGACGTCGCCCACGACGACTCCGCCATTGACGACGACGAGAACGACGACGACGACGGAGACGACGGTGACGGCGATGGCGACGGCGACGATGCCCGTTCGTCGTTGTCGCTGTTGTTGTCGTCGTCATTCGCCGGCGGCGAGGGAGCAGGGGTTCAACCCCCGGGGTTTTCGGCGGAGAGAATGTAGGGGACCAGTTCCAGAGAGGACGGGGTGATGGGGGTCCCTGTTCTAGAAAGGGAGGGGGATTTTGTCCACCACTGAAGCGGTCGTTCCCTCAAATGTTTGGATGTCCTGCCCCCGCGAATGAATCCCAGTCGTAGGATCATGGTGCGGAAGTTCGGTTATTGGCGAACAGTTGTTACACAGTTCTGGCCTCGGGGGTTGTGCTTGATTATGTTGGATTTCTGGTCACCGCTATAGGGTTGCAGCCATGTGGTCCAGACTTCAATATTGAGATCTCAGGTCGCCGCTATGCGGTCCTTGCTACAAGGCATTCTCCCTCGTCTTGAGGTTTCGCGGCGGTTGGCAATCGGGCTCCGCCCAACAGTACTGGTGTAAAGGGAGCTGGAGGGAAGGAGGGATGGAGGGAGGGGAAGGGGCAGGGAGGGAGGGAGGGGGATTGGAGGGCGGGAGGAGCAGCAGGCTGCAGCGAGAGTGTTCTTCGAGACACCTCTGTGCTCCCAGATGCCCCTTGCGTCCCCCGGCCTGTCGCGGGCGAGCGGTCTCCTGGTTCTCGGAGCTGGGGGCCTCCTTCTGGGGGCACTGAGAGCGTGCGACTCGTGTGAACTCAGAGGAGGGCGATGTGAGACAGTTGTCGTTGGTATTCGGGGGCGCCCTCGTCGCCACGGCTGGGCGCAGCTCGGAAGAGCGGTGCGTTCGGGCCCTTTTGAGAGGTCTGGGGGCCGGGGCTGAGTTGCCGTTGTCTCGACTCGCCCTGCTCCGAGGAGTGCTTGGAACTGCTCCTGAGTCCGGTACGTGGCCCTTGGGCGAGGCATCGATACTGGATGGCTGCATACGGTAGGTTCGTGTCGTGTCGACCGGCGGCGACCCCGCCGCCGACGTTCAACTTTGAACGCCGCCGGCGACCCAGAATCGATCGATGTTGAACGATCGGACGTTGCGGAGACGGCCGATCGTTCAAGGTTGAACGATCCAGCGCGGTGTCGGGAACCAACGCTGGGGTCGACACGACACGAACCTGCAGTAGTCGGATGTCTCTCCACAGAACCCTGAAGGTGTACAGACACGGTGAGACTTCTGGTTGTCCTTGGGAGGTTTCCAGAAAGTTTGGGATAATTCGTTCAGAATCAGTCGATTCGTGCTTCTTGCATTTACGTTCGGGACCTTGTCCCAGACACGGCTCCAGGGTCTCCCAATGCGAGCTTGTCTTTCACGTCATGCAGATATTGAATGTGTTTCGTGCCGACGAACAAAGAAGATGACGCTGAGGCGTTGGACGATGATAAGAAGGATGAGAATAAGCGCGAGGAGGAAGATGAGGAGGAGGGGGAGGAAGGGAGTGAGGAGGACGAGGATGATGAGGAACGAGGAGAGGGGAAGTGTTCCTCAAGGAAGGGTGGGGCAGACGGTCGGATTCCGTAATGGAGTCTGTAATGAAATTCGAGGTGTGGCGATTTGCAGCCACCCCTTCAAAGAGCGAACAGTGGAGTGGTAGTTTTGCCGAATTGTGGTAGTGCTTTAAGTGCATGGCGTAACGCGGTTACGCTTTGTTCGCCGCAGTGACAGCAGTGATTGTGCTAGCAGGATTGGATTGTTGCCCGATCGATCAGGCGCAGTTCAAGGCCTTCTGCAAGGAGAGGAAGTGGCGATGAGTGAGGCCGATGGCTCGGCGCGGCTTGGCCGGCCAGCCCTCGGACGAGCGCCAGCTCAGGGGCCTGGTGGAGACAGGGCGCATCACCACGGAGATGCTGGATTGGCGGATCCTTTTGGAAGGGAGTGGGAAGGGGAGGGAGGGCCTGGGAAGGGGAAGATGGGCAGAAGAGGGCCATGACAGGGGTGGTGGCGAGGGACGGGGAGGGGGCGCGGGGAAGGGAATGGGAGAGCAGGAAAGGACAGGGGGAACGGAGCGAAGTTTCGTTTCCTGGCACACCAATTCCATGCTCACCGCCTCTCCCCCCCCCTCCTCCATCGAAGGACGAAAGGTTGCAGTGAGGGTGGACAGGTGAAAGGACACAGATGGGCGGGGTGGCATGTACAGCGTGGTTGCGTGAATTCTGCTCCCAGCTGGCATCCAGAGCGCGGAGGCGCAACACTCTATCTCACTTGCCACCCAAGAGACCAGGAAATCCCGCCGACCCACGAAGGGTGGACGGGCGAATGCAATTCAGTAGTTTATTCAGAGACGATGTCCAGGCGAACAGTCCGGAGTACTTTGTAGCATGCAGTGAAACAACGAGGCCATCAATGCTGAACTCAGATATCTCTGGGAGCTGGGGCCCGCTTGGGAGTCCTTGAATCCCTCCCTGGGTCTTCGGGAGCCCTCTCGGGGGCCGCGGGGGGCCCCTCTTCGAGTCCTCCTGGAGGCCACCGGGGCCCCGGGGGTGGGGCCCCCCGCCTGGAGACCGAAGCTCTGCTCCCGGGCCCGCCCGCCGCTCTGGGGGCCACAGGAGGCCTCCGGGGAGGGCGGGCAGCCTGGAGCGCTCCTGGGCCCCGCTCGACGGCTCTTCGGCGATCTCTCGGAGCCATCTCGAGGCCTCCGAATCCCATCGGAAGCGACAGGGCGATCAGTACAGCTCGGCGGCGAGCCAGGAGTGGAAGTGAGAAGGGGCGAGCCTTCTCGGAAGGCTCGGAAATCCCCCGGCCTTATGAGAAGAAATTGTTTGAGCCTTCCCCGAAGGCAAAGGAAATATTTTAAAAGGCCGGAGGGCCTCCGAGAAGTCCCGCCGCCTTCTGAGCAGGCTTTCTCCTTCTCACGTCCTCCGCTCGCTCGCGTCGGAATGGTATTGAACAGCAATATGTTGAAGGAATGTGGCCTCTCGGGGTATCCCTTGGAGGGCTCCATGGCCACGCCATCTTGGGGCCCCTTGGCCGTTTAGGAGCCCTGCTGGATCCGTCTTGCAGGGCATCTTGGAAGTGTTCGCGAGGTGTTCGAGAGTGAAGCTGGAGGCTCGGAGGGCCCAGGACACGCGCAAGAGAGTTGTGGAAGCCGCCCTCGAACAGCATTTTGGACCCCTGATTCTCATCGCACATACCATCTCAACCCATGGCAAGCGGGGGTCGGCGGATCCCGTTCACTTGCGCTGCAGACTGCATTGCTGATGCAGTTTTTCAAGTGGCGAATTGTGCCAATCATTATATCTGGTCTGGGGCGTGTCCCTTGCAGGCGTACAACGGTTCTGTACGTGTGCCTTGGGGAAGGGCCTGCCACAGATCTGAGTAGGCAGTAACAGCATAAGTCAACACTGGTGCCAAAGGTTATGCCAGAGCGTAGATAGCATAGGTGTGATGATAGCGTGCGGAATGGCACGAACACGTCTTGTTCTCTGAGATTATGTGTGCATCTCCGCCGCGCGTCTCAAAGGCCATTACGGCTCGCCTTGGCGCGTTGGCGCAGGGTCGAGCTTCAAGCGCCTGACCGCTGCCACGGCAAGGTACGCGAAGGCTAGGACTCTTTGCGAGTCTGTTTTGTAGGCCCATTTGAAGACATCAAGGGCGGGGTGTGTCGCAGCCTGCTTGATGGGGCACGCGAGATACCTGGAAGGTTAGAGGGTGGAGGGGAGGAGGAGGAGGAGGAGGAGGAGGAGGAGGAGGCGGAGGAGGAGGAGGCCGCAGCGGCGGAGGAGGAGGAGAAGGTGAAAAGGTGAGGTAAGGTACTAGTACGAGGGGAGAGGCAGAGGGCTATTGAGGATGAGTGGCACGTGGGTGAAATGGCCCAGGACATCCCTCACAGAGGATTGGGAACAGAGAGAGAGAGAGAGGGAGGCGATGCAAGAGGGTGTGAACTCAGGGGCGCTGAAATCGTGTCTCTCACAACGTCTCGGCTGTAATCCCCCCACTCTTGGTGAGTTGTCTACTCGCCCTGCGAGCCAGAGAAGGAGGAAGAGAAAGAGGAAGAGGAGTGGTGCACAAAGGAGGAGGAGGAGGAGGAGGAGGAGGGGAAGTGGCACGGAGGAAAAAAGGAGGGGGACGAGAAGGCGGGACGAGGTCCACCGTGCCAGCTTGATGAAACGCAAACACGGGCAAAGGCACGTGGGTCAGCGACGGGCCCCGCTGCCACACAAAACCAGCGCGCCCCGTTGCCGAATCAGGCGGCACCAGCTTCATGCCCCGGGGGGATGTTTTTCCCGATCGTGGAGCTGGCGCCCGCGCGCCAGAACCATGGGTCCATACTCCGTGTCAGCGCGTGCCCAATTATGTCGCCGCTCCTGCCACGTCCCGCCAGCGGCCGCGCGGGCTGTGGGCGAGGAACTTCCCGAATCGTCCAGAGCGGGGACGAGATCATTGGCCGAGCCGCGGACCGAGTCGGCGGGCGATTGCAGGCCTCGAGCTGGTTGCTGCCGCGTGGGCGTCTCGGGGGCAACGTCAGAGTGGGCCCGGGCGGGCTCAGGGGAGGGGGGGGTGCGCATCGACCACCCCATCGCCCACTGGGCCCCATGGCCCTCGCCGCACAGAGCGTGCGCATTCGCCATCGGGCGTATGTTGCCCGACCGATCGGCGATGTGTCGCCGATTCACCTCGGCGCTTCCCCGGCTGGGCCGCCCCCCCCCCCCTGTACGTTCCCTCTCAGTGGTCCAGATCGTCGTGGGACGGCCGAATCGCGGGCCGAGTCGACGGCCGACTGCAAGCCTCGAGCTGCTTGCTGCCGCGAGGGCGTCCGCCTGGCCCCGCGAGGGCCCAGGCGACCAGGCGGGGGCCAGGGCGCGCACAGGGGGGGGGGGCGGCGGGAGCGCCAGGAGTCAGGGTGCCAGAGGACAGCTCGGGCCCTGGAGCGGGTGGCGCGCCCTGGGCGCACGGAAGGGCCCCGACCCAGGGAGGAATTGCGAGGGGCAGGAGGAGGAGGAGGAGGAGGAGGAGGAAGAGAGAGGAGGAAGAGAGAAGAGGAGGAGGAAGAGAGAGGAGAGGGGAGAGAGGAGAGAGGACAGAGGAGAGAGGAGGAAGGAGAGAGGAGGAGGAGGAGGAGGAGGAGGAGGAGGAGGAGGAGGAGGAGAAAGAGGATGAGGAGGAGGGCGCGGCAGTCGAGGGAGGAAGAAACCCCGGCCCCCACATCGTTGGCGTTTGCCAGACGGCCCGGCCCCGCGGCGTTTACTGATCAGTCCTGCCTTGATCGGTTCAGGTGTGTTTGCCAGAGGGCTTCCATCGCCAGGCGGCCCTCGGCGATTACTGAGCAGTCCTGCCCTGTCCGAGTCCCTCTTCGGATGCGCTCACTGGAAGGATCTGCCTGCAGGGGCGCTCACTCTGAGGGTGTTTTTTGCCTGCAGAGGCGTTCACTACGAGGGTGCTGTTTCTGCCCTCTGGGCAGGGTGCTCGGCAGATCCAAGCCGAACGAGAGGATTTAGCGCTAAGCACCGCAGCGATGAGCTGCGGAAGTATCTGAGGGCAGGACAAGGCAGGACCGGGCGCCAGGTGGCCAGGCAAATCAAGGATCGATGGTGCACCGCGTGGCCTCTTCCCAAGGAGTGGGCTAATTTTCAGTCGGGCATGTCCCCCTACAGGAGGAAAATGCAAAAATAGTCAACCATAGTCTGGGGACGATGTTTCGACCATGTTTGACTATCATTGGATACTTTTGACTATGTCTTGTTTTTCTTCCAAACTCCGCCTGTAGGTGGACGTGCCCGACCTCAGGCTAATTAGTTGTTCATCGTGCAATGTTGGACTGATTTCCTGGATTACGTGCCCGTGCGATAATTCAGGGAATCCCGCATCTGTCGTCACCATGGTTGCGGGTGGCACGGGATCAATCGCCAAACAAGAGTCTGGTAGGGTCCCATGGACCGACTGTGATCAGATGACGCGAAGCACCATCGTGCCCCTTGTGGCACCATGCGTTTCAAAAGTAGGCCAGATAAACGGTTCGAGCCACCCCTGACGTGAAGCAGTGGAAGCAATCCAGACCCGTCTGGACACAATGGATGTGCGGTTCTTAGCACGTGGAGCACATCGTCCTCCCACTCCTCCTCCTCCGCCCCCGTATTCGAGACATTGTGTACGCATGTACCTTCAGAGCACCCCCAACCTGAATGGCGGGCGAAAGTCTTCTAGAAGCGGCCGCAGCCTATTACGTACTGGAATCAAGCCACGTGGGTTTCTAAATCGTTCGTCATCAGATTGGGGGCCTGTCCCGACCGCAGCCGAAGGGGATCTCCCTTGTCCGTTCAGGTTATGGCTTGATGTCTTGTCGTGCGTGTCAGAATCCCCGGGCAGAGCGTGGATGTTTCTTGTATTCATTGGGAGCCTTTCGGAGGTGCCACACAGCGAGGCGTTACAAGTTGCCTTCGGTTGGATTATCGTCTGTGTCCTCATGTGATACTCGTCGAAATTTCAACCCCAGCTCTCCCAGGTTAGTATCCTTGACGTGCCAAGGATGTGGAGGCACAGGGCAAACGACTTACGGTGGTCAGAGCCAGGTGTGTTACATCTGATGTTAGTGCGGTGGCTGCACTGTGCGCTCCAACCCTTCAGACTTGTACGGGGGCAAGCTGGCGCGCTGTTGGGAGCGCAGAAAAAAAGGCAGCTCTGAAATGGTAGGTATTTCCTCGTTGGGACTCAGGCGCTCAGCTGTCCAGGCGAAGGGCCGCGAAGCTCCGGCGTTGCAGCGGCAAGGTCATAGTTTTGAGAGTGAATCCGGTCTCAGACTATGCGTTGAATGACC